AGATATCTTGAGATCTTACAATGTTGGCAGATCTGGCAATGTACTTACAATGAAAAATTGTTAACAACAGGTAATTTGTCAGATCACACGGTTGCAAGAAAACCTTAAAATTTAATTGTCAGACAATAAATTTATCTGCCAAAAATGTTGTCAGCTTGTTATATGGCGAAAGTTGATCTTATTTTAGCTGCATATGTTCTTTTAATGGAACGTTTTGTCAATAGAAAACATTTATCTGACAATGATTCCATTATCAGATGCATAAAATTCACACATCTGACAATAAAAAGGAATTGACAACGTAATATGTTTACACGATTGTTAGATGTCTGACAATTTATTGTTCTACCAAATACTGACAATGCATTTTCTAAAGACAAAAATTGTAAGTCACACGGTTGTTAGACATTTTATGAACATTTTTCTGCCAACGTTGTAAGATCTGACAACCTTTAAGGGAAATCTAAATTTCTGGATTTAGACTTTTTCAAAATGTTTTTGGACTTTGAATTTATTTAATTTTAAAGAAATAATATTTCGAGTATGTTTTCTTTACAATAAATGATTTCATTCTTTGAAATTCCTTCTTAAAACTAGAGTGAGAAAGAGCGGATAAAAAACACGTTGGAAAAATGTTGAATTAAAATATTTTTACACGCAACAAGGTCTTTGTGCCACTAACTGCAACATGCATTTATTTTATTCATAAAAGATTTTTTACAATATAAAATATACACAAAAAATTTTTATGTTCGTTCACTTGTTTGGGTATCTGGTGTTTAGTGTTGCCATATTTGGTGCTTTTCACAATATTGTCCGGTTTTTAGAAATTGTCTCAAATATCTGCTCGGACTTTCATGAATACGTTAAACATGAAGGTCAGGATTCTAATTTGATATCAATCGAAACATCTTTTGTGCGCGTTTTTCGTCTTGGTTATATCCAATTGTAAAGATTAAAGATTATGAAAGATTAAAATTACTTAATTTTGAAGTTAACCCCATTTTTAATAAACTGGCAACTCTAATTTATATTCACTGTAAATTTTATTCTTTGATGGAGTATTTTTATTGCCTCCTTCCCTATTTACCAAATGTTGGTGGCAAAATGAATATTGCGTTTTTTTCGTCGTCTCCTTTTCAACTTAATGATGATGACGATGAACTTTTTTCCACTATACATACTTATAAAAATATGTTTATTACTGCAAAACATGTGGATTTAGTAGTAATAAAAAACATACAGTGTCTCACATAAATATTCGAATTTATTATTTTTTATGAATTACTGTGTTATTGTATGATGCTACTTTAAAAATAATAATAGTATTTAAAATTTTTTAATGAAATTTTATTAATTTATATTATTTTTACAAAATACAAGAAAAAAGTAATAAAAAATCATTAATGGTTTCCAAGAAAATGGAAAAAACCCAAAAAGGGTCATTTCAGGTACTGCGCAAAAATATTCGAATTTTTTCTAAGAACTTTATTAGAATCCTTGAACACGTGTTTTATTGCCCATTAATTAACCCATTATGCAGGTAGTGGTTATATGGAATATTTAACATTATATTTTTTGGAAATTTGCATAATTATGTTGTAAATCCTTCCTGTGTAAGTGCTTAAAATGTTCAAAGAAAAAGAGTTGATCAATTCAAATTAAAAAATTAATTTATATCTGTATAAACAAGGCCGATCAATTAAATATATATAGGAAATGGTTGATAGATTCCCATCGACAATATATTTTGTCATTACACGCATGGAACAAAGAATTCCATCGAGTATTTACCATTATCAAGTCGTCCAAAACTGCTGTCAATACAGGGCGACAGAGAAATACTGAAGAAATACCGAAAGAACCTTCATCTATCAGCTCCAAAAATTAACAACGAACTCATGACAGTCCTGTGAATAAAAATTAGTGTCGAAATTGTGCGCAAAGTACTAGGGAGCAATAATTCGCATGGTCAAGTACCAAGGTGGAAACCGCTCATATCGAAGTTAATCGATGTTAAGTGTCTTGACTCCGCAAATAGACTCATAAGTAAGAATATTGGATTCTGGAAGGAGGTTATCTTCTACGATTAGAACAAATATAATATTTTTGGCTCTGATGGTCGTCAAATGATATGGCGAAAGCTTGGAGATGCCTTGGAATTATCAAACTTAAAATCAATTGTAAAGGACCCAAGTTGCTCTGCCATATTTTGGGGTTCTGTGTCCGTCCACGGTGTTGGACTCCTAAAATTTATTATTGTAATTATAGACTAGAAGGTCCACTTGTCAATTTTAGAGCAGAATTTGCATGCTAGTACCACCAAAATGGGGCTACAACCCATTCAATTTATTTTTCAACAGAAAAACGATCCAAAATACACGACCTGGTACGTGAAAATGTTGATCATTAACAACACTAAGTATCTTCTTTCACCAAATTTTCAATGGAGTTAATGTCTGGACTTAAACTCCATTGAAAATTTGTGGTTATATTTACAAGAACAACTTTTAAATCACTCATTATCCTCTAAAACCACCATACGGTTGCTTTGCATGAAGAATGGGACATAATAACGCCAGAACTATTCCATAAATTGGTAGAAACGGTCCCACGACGATTGGAAGTTGTTTTTAAAAACAAAGGCTACTATACAAAACATTAATTTCATTTTAATTATTTATTTTTACTTCATAATGCTAATCTAAATATGATTTATACAAAAAATTCGAATACTTTTGTGAAGCTATTTTTTGCACTTTTTTAAAAAAAAGTTAAATTAGTTTATGTAAATAATTTTTTTTTTTAATTTTTAAAATGTGGTATAGAATTTAAGGACTGTCTGGACAACATAATAAATTTATTTATTTATTTTTCCCACAAAATCTATTATAAAATGATGTCTGTTTTCATAATACATTAAATTCGAATACTTATGAGAGACACTGTAAATATGTTTTGTCAGTTTAGTGTTTTTTTATTCAAATATTTTAATAATGAAAAGCTTTTGTTTTTGTTTGCAATGTTTAATTTAGTACTACATTTGTAACTAAATTTTCAACCAGAAATTTGGCATTCGCGAATTCGCTTAATGACAATGCAAGGTTATTTTCGAAGTTATGATCAAAAAATATTTAGAACAGTATCTGGATTAACAAGATCATTAATAAATTTTCGAAAATTCGGACTTATGTTCGAAATATTTTTAATACTGTTAAAATAATCACTAAATTATGAGATTTAAAATATTTTGATTTAAAACTTCATATGTAGGTATTAAAAATTAGTCTGGGACCTCTAAATTTTAGCTAAATATATGCATTTAATTTCCATAGGACAATATCAAATACCTCTTTAATAAAATCATAAAAAATTTCTGTTTCATTTACCTTAATAAACATTTTCACTTACACTTTTATTTTGTAAAGAAAATGAAGAACACTCATAAAAACTAAACAAATAAAATTAATTTCCAACATTGATTTCTATCTTCTGCTAGAGTGTCAAGGTCAGTACAAAAAAATAAGGAGGAAAGAAACCAAAAACAAAATAAATAATACAACTACCAACAAACAAATAAAAAATCTAATTACCTTTAGTGTTTTATTGTTGTTGTTAAGTTAGTTAACTTTATAAATATACAGAAAAAAAAAACGAACAAACAATTCCGAGAAGGAAATCTTTATTTTATTATCCTGACATAGACTCTCAAATACATAAACATTTACACACTTGCTTACACAACACACGTATAATATAAAAACAAAACAAAATGAAGAAGAGGAAGCATGTCCAGTGCTAGAACATAGAAAAAATTTTATTAAGAAAAAAAGGAAAAACACGAAAGAAATAACAAAAAGCGCAATATAAACCGGAACTTAACAAAACCAAATATTACAAAAAATAGCAATAATAACAAAACAAAACAGCAACAACTCGGCAAATAGTCCTGATACTCCCTAGGGGGTTGCACTCGTATCTACGTAAGTACGAAAGTGTACGCCCAAGTTGTTGTATATTACAGCTACAAGAACAAAAACATCGTCGACGATGACGACGACAATCAAAGGAGAACAGCAGGATATTAAAAACACACAGCTGAGAGAGCATAAACATGTTTGGCATGTTAAATTTTTGTTGTCGTTTTTTTGTGTGTGTTTTGTTTTTAAAGTGGGCTTAACAGTGCTTTTAAAGTATCCTTTCTTAATAAAACTTCAAATAGACATACATACAAATATTTTTTTTAAATATGTAAAAATAAACGTGTTCATAATTTTGCTTAGAAGAACTTTAAAATAATATCAAAAGATCCAAAGGAGTTTCAAAACTCAATTTATTGTTATGCTAGGTTATTGATTTGTCAACAAATTTCATATGTTATTCGTATAACTAGAATTTTTAAGGTTATATGCAATAACAGTCAATTTTAATCTTCTGAGTAGATCGCCCTACCATATTTATAATATATAATATATGCTCAAAATCGGGAGTTATCCCAGAAAACGGATTATTAATTGTTGTCGGACTTTAACATTTTTAACTCAATTTTTTTTTTTTTGATTCTAACATGTAAGTGAATCTAAAAAACAACTTAAATGAAAACACTCTTTTAAATTCAGACAGTATCATTAAAATGTGAATGTTAAAACAAAACTGAATATAAGAAGTAACAAATGAATAATAACAAAAACATAAAAAAGAAGAGGAAAACACTTTACAATTGTTAAAAAGAACAAAACACAAAAATCTATAAAAACACTTTCCACGCACTTCGTAAAATATCTTCCGTAGAAACCCTTGACATTTTATCTGTCATTCTGTTAATATTATTCTCTTTTATGTTTTAAAATTTTTTAAGTTTATTCGCGTTTATTATTGTTTTTGGAAAAATATTAAATAAAACACAATAGTTTTTAAAATTTAAAAAAGTAAATAAAAGCAATACCTTATAAAAAATTAACTAATTAAACGAATGCTTCGATATATTTTTCTATTTATAGATAAGTCAACATAAGCCAAAACGACGCGACGCGCGAAGATGGCCAAAATGGAAGTCGACGATGTCGTCGACTTAAGTTTAGGCACCGGCCGTGATCCGGCTCTAACTATAACACCTACAACCGTAAGAGACTTGAGAGCACTTACACAAAACTCTGGACTGACTATAACACCTGCACCACCGCCACCAACAGCAACATCACCGGCCGCAGCAACAACCGCCACGGCACTGGGCAATAATAGCAGTAGTATAACTAGCAGTACTAGCAGCAGCACTAGTAGTACAGCAATAGCAAATACAAGTGGTAATACCACACCAACTACAAATAATATATCGACGACTATAACCACGGTAGATCCATCTAGTAATAGTGCAACTAATCAAATAACAAATACAAATACATTAAACAACACATCCACGGCAAGTGCTAACACAGTTGTGGCCACAGCAACTACAACAGTTGCAGCAACAACAACAAATTCCCAAACCACAACCAACTCATCAGGGACGGGGTCATCTGGTGGCGGCGGCACTAGCATTGGTGGTTTAGGAGTAGTTAGTTCAGGCAACGAAGAGAACAAAGTTCAACGTCGTGTTCTGAGACCACGCACCGAACCCAAGTCATATGCAGAGGCTCCTGATATAGTCTTATTGCCGGCCCGCATGAATGGTCGCCAACAAAATGGTAACATAGACTCAGAAACAGATGACGAGGAAATGCCTCCATATGTACCCATAAAAGAGTTGACACCAGCCGAATTAAAAGAGCGCGAAAAGGGCCTGCGTAAGTTAAGAGACGACTTACGCAATGAAGAAACCAAATTAGTGTTGCTAAAGAAGCTTAAACAGTCACAGCATGTCATGAAGGAAAATATTGTGGTCACCTCGACCAGTGTATCGCCTACAAATCCCCTGGCAGCTATACCAGCAGCTTTGACATCGAAGGGAGCCTTAAGTGTTACCCCTACTACGGCAGTACCACTGCCAGCACATACCAAAAGTTCACGTTCCAATAGCAGTAACATCTCATCATCGGTTAGCATAAGGTAAGTGAAATGAAATCTGAAATACTTGAAATTTGCTTATAAATCTAATCGTTCTTTCTTTTTAGTGCTACCAATAGCCGCTCGAATACAAATTCCTCTTCATCCGGGTCGACATCATCCCCCCATCGTTCAACTAACAACTCTATACTGCCTCCACCACGTTCGGCACTACCCGGTGGTGCTACTCTAACAGCCGGTTCTTCCGCTTCAATTAGCATTCAAGCCACATCGTCACCATCATCATCAACGTTGTCATCATCAGCCCGTTCGAATGCTCTACCACCCCGCACCAATCTACCGAATCTCACTATAACGCCATCAGTGACTATAACACCAACATCGGCTCCACCATCTGGACTTAAATCACGCAATGTGAGTTGTTGTAATGTGATCGTTGCAGTAAGCGCTGTGTTGTTTCATTATTACATGTTTCTTTCTACACCTTTCCTCTAATCCTCCCGTCCTTTAATCACACTTTCTATAACACGAATCTATTACTAATACATACATCATACACACAACGCTTACTTACAACAATATACATATTATTTTTTGTTCATTATACTCATACTTACATATATATTTTAACTTAGTTGTAGTATAGTGTTTCATTAGCTAGAGGAATATAGTTTTGCGAATCAGTTAGATTTTTTAGAAGATAACATTTTTTGAGGATTAAAGTTAGGTCATTAAGTTATTTATTATAATGTAATTTATATCTCGTGGAGGATCTGTAGGCTTCTTCTCCACGGCGACTAGACTTAAAATAATGGCATCTTTACGCTATGTGGACGATCTTCTTTCGAATCGCTACTTTAGGTCAGTTAGAGGGGATGCCTTCCTACTTTGAGCACATATTACAATGATATCATGCTCCCCATCATAACTCATCTCCTCAAACTTTTATTGTGAAAAGTTTCTCAAAATAAATATATTGACAATCCAAAAATCTCATCAACCTTACAGTTTTTAAAAATCGTTCACTTTTTATGCGTTTATCCCAACCTTCATAATCGAAAAGATTAAAACAACATGTAATATTAATTAAATCACTGATCTTCAAGTTAAAAACTGGCTCTAAAAATTCAAAATAATTGAAATTTTAACATTGAATTTAAATAATTACCAAATCTTAAAAGACATTCCCAAGATTTAATTCCAAATATTAATTTTTAAAGCTAAATGATTATTTTTTAATTTTAATTTAATAACAATTAGTCTATACACATAAACAACTTCACACTACACTAATCCCATTCCTCACCTTAAGTAATAATGTTAAGGGTTTATATAATTTAATAAAAAACGATAGTGCAACATATTTGTTATTTAATACTAATAATCTATATAATTATTTAATATGCTAATTGTTATTTAAATGTAAAAAAATTTATCATGTTTTTTTTCTATGATTCATTTATCAATTTCATAAAACTAACCAATTTGTGTCATATTGTTGTGTGCCTTGTATTGTTTATATTGAACTAACAAAACAAACAAAAATATAAATAAATGAATATAAATAAGCAGCAGCCTAATGTTTCGGATAATTCAAAGGTACCTAACACCATCAGCAATTCGGTATCAATAACACCAGCACCACCGTTGTCAACACAAAATCAACAACACAATGAGTTGAAGGTGAATTAAAAGCAAAAAATCCTTTAAATAACAAATATCATTAACCTATGATATGATTTAAATTTTAGAATGAACGCTTAAATTCCCGCGAAGATGTACAAACACCCGCACAAAGGCAAGCGGCTGCTAAATTGGCTTTAAGGAAACAGTTAGAGAAGACTTTGCTACAGGTATTTGTTTGTATTAAATAAATATTACAAAAGAATATACTAATACATACATGTAATTAATTTTTTATAAAGATTCCTCCACCTAAGCCTCCACCACCAGAGATGCATTTTATACCAAATCCTAGCAATACTGAATTTGTTTACCTGCTTGGCTTAGAGACTGTTGTCGATTATATAACGACAAATAATAAGAAAACAAATACAGTGGCACCACCATTTCGCTGTGCTCAATGTAAGATTGATTTTACACCAGTCTGGAAGTGGGAGAAACAAGGTAAACAAACATTTGTCTTTAAATTAAAGATGAAAACAGAGTTTTAATTATTTACATTTTTCTCTCTCTCTCCGCTCTAGGCAACAAAGAAGCTAAAGTTATTTGTGAACAATGCGTCACCACTAATGTTAAGAAAGCTTTGAAAGCTGAACACACCAATCGACTGAAACAGGCCTTTGTTAAGGCCTTACAACAAGAACAAGAAATTGAGCAACGTTTGGCCAGTCAAAGCAGTCCTTCCCCGGTGGATGCTCATGTAGCTGCTAGTTCTGCGTTGTCTCAAGTCCAGAATCATTCTCAACAAACGGCGCATCAATCTCAACCACAAGCAGCCCATGCCGCCTCGACAGCAGCCGCTTTAGTTAATCTACCACCGTCTGTAACGGTTATACCCACCAAATGTCACACTCCAACACCGAGTATCACGCCGCGTCCCACACCACCACCAACCAATCAACCGACACCTCCACCACCAACTACGCCACGTTCGTCGCGAGGTTCCATGTCTCATCAGGCTCAGCCCAGTCCTAGTACACCTACACCCAGTCAAATGCATCACCATCAGCAGCATCAACTCCAGCAGCAACAACAACACCAGCAGCATCAACAGCAGCAGCGTGAGCGCGAACGTGAACGGGAAAGAGAACGTGAACGAGAAAGAGAACGCGAGCGGGATCGTGAGCGTGAAAGAGAACGCGAGCGTGATCATCATCGTGCTGAGCAGCAACAGCAAAGGGCTGCTGCTGAACAACAACAGCAACAACAACAGCAGCAACAGCAACAATATGATAAATATTCAGCTGCTGCTTTAGCAGCCGCTGCTCAATTGGGTGCTCTTGGTTTGCCGGGTCTAAACAATTTAGCTGGTTTAGGCGGTCTCGGTAATCTGGGCAATTTAGGGCAACTGGGTAATTTGGCGGCGTTGGGTGGTTTGGCCAATCTAGGTGCTGCTGCCGCCGCTACGGCCACAAATCCAGCAGCAGCTGCTGCAAATCTCGGTGCTCTTGGCAATGCATCACCTGCTGCCGCAATGCAAGCGTTCCAGCAGCAATTATTTAGAGGTAAATGTGCTAAAGCATTTCTTTTATTTATTTGCTCATTCTAAATAATATGTTTATTCCTCTAGCTTTGGGTCAAGGTTTAGCAACGAATCCTCAACATATGATGCAATTTACCCCACTATTGTATTCCTATCAAATGGCTATGGCTCAGGCAGCTCAAGTAGCTGGTAAGCAAAAACGCCTTCAATTAACAGATTAGATTTTCAATTTTAAATTTCTTTTATTTGGCAGCATTTACAAATAAAAATAAAACAACATCTGCATCTTCCTCCTCTGCTTCATCGTCCAAGAATCAAACAGCCTCATTGGCTGATATACAACGAGCCGCTGAATTGCAGCGACAATATTTACTAGAGATGATACCACCGCAAGCACCAGGACCTAGTAACAATCGCCAAAACAATTGGAAAACGTAAATAACACACAACATCAGCAGCAGCAGCAACAGCACCAATAATTATAGAACTAAAACTAAAAGAAATCGAGTTTTGTGCATGCAATAATCGTAAGATTTTAAAATAATCTTTAAACAAAAAAAATGTACTACAGTCAAATATTAAGTTTAAACTAATAACTTATGGAAAATGATTTATTTCTTTCTTTTAATTTAAACATTTTTAGCTTTTTTCTATTTTAAAGAAAAATCTTATTTGTTTGTTTAAAAACTATGCATGCTTTGGTCGTTTGATCAGACCAAAAACTCAATAAACCATTTCTTAATACATATTTGAAAATGTATCCTAATTTCTTTTTCTCATACTCTCTAACTTCCCCTCTATCTCTCATTCTGTATAGTTAATCCTTTAAAGATTTTTGTTTAAAATTTTTATCACATAATTAAATCAAATTATTTTAAGTTTTAATTTATTCAATAACATCAGATTAAAATATACAAAAACATTTGTAAAAGCAAGAATAGAACGAAAAGAAAACAAGCAAATGTCGTAAATGGAGTGATCGAACTCTATAAAAACAATCCTCTCTCCTTCATTCATACAATATTTTTAAGCATTAGTAACTCTTGAAATAATTAATGCAAATTCTTAAAAAAAAGCAAAGGCAAATAAATCCCATAATTTGCATTAAAATCTACAAACAAAAAACATAAATAAAACTATTTTTATAATAAAAAAAAACAAATAAATAAAAAATAGTTCAATAATTATTTTTATTAGTTTTTAAATGACTTAAGCATTAAGTGTTATTGTTTTTTTCTATAAAACAAAACAATTAATTAATTATTTAATTAACATTTCAAATGAATTTTAGTTTTTTATATAACATTTCGTTTAAATACATTTTTTTATAATTGCTTTAAAAAAACTTTCGTTTTTTTTTATTTTCTGCCTTCCCTTCCCCCTCCAGAGGCGAAATTTATTATTACATTACCTTTTACATAATAAAAAATACTATTACAAAGTAATTGTTAACTTCTACTTGTGTTTTTATTGTTTTAATTTTTTCTGTTTACATATTAATTACTCTGTATGTTTTAATTAATTAAATAAAATATTTTAATTTAATTATTACTATTTTTTATTACAAATTTAATTTCGTTGTAATAATTTGTATCTAAATGATTTATTTCTTAATTAAAAAAAAAAAAAAAAAAAAAACAATACGAAAGAAAGAAGCCTTAGTAATATCAAATTTAGTTTTTATAGTTTATTTTAAATTTTAGTTATTTGCTTTAAATTAAACAAACAACAACAAAATATTATTAAATATATATTTTCTAGATATAATTGAATTAACAAAAATAAACATTTTATTGCTTAATTTAAACAAAAAATAAATAAACCAACAACATGAATAACTTATTTTTAACGGGTGATATCTAAAAATTACAATAAAACACTCTTTTTTTAATAATTTACAATTTTAAATTTTTGCTGTGTTTCTAAATTACCGAAAACTTTTGGATATTTATTTAATATCAGCCACGAAAGTCGTCTTTTTTTTCTTTCGCGAAGAAAGGTAATTCTTATAGCAGAAAATTTATGGACTAATATGTCCTTTACTGACTTTTTTATATAGAAATCAGAATATAAATATGTTTCTATAGTATGTATTAATTGAGCTGTGCTGTATCCGAATCAGGCCTTCTATGTTGCCCACCTTTTCTTTGAATTCATACTTTAGGTTAATATATCTAGAAGAAGTTAGTGGTAGTTAGTTTGAAAGGAGGATGTATATACATCAAAGCCGAAGAAATACACCTAGGCCTCTATCGGGCCTATTGTGCGCTCCTTTACCAGTACTCGAGGCCACTATCTGGAAGATGAAACAAAGTTTTATTTTTATTCTTCTCTGACACAAGCGTCACAGTAGGAACAATGAACGAATTGTTCTCGAGACTCTTTTTTTTTTGTAGTTTATATGGGTCCAAGTTTAGGAGGGGTTTAGATGGCTTTTATATTACAAACTTTAGAATGGTTTAAGCTACATGACCAGTGAAACATCATCCAGATTGATATATAGAGAAATATTCGCATAGATTTCTCTCTGGCATCTACACTACATCCAGGCTAGTTTTCTTAACGAGGTGGCGCATCATTCGAACATCGAATTGTTCTGCATGCCGGGATACTCCAACTGTTTAAATATGTTCTCGCATTGATGATTGACATTTTGGTAGGTGTGCCGCTTTCATGTTCTAAAACTTCTTCAGCAGGAGTAAGGCTGACCTGACCACTCTACGCCAACCTTTCATGTGGTAGGCTGAGGCTACTGATAGTCGTCTTGACAAGTCATTCGTTATTAGGTGCGCTTGCTAGGATATTTTTTTTCTATCTAATGACTTTTCCAGAAGTTAAAATAATGAGAATTATGGTCGAACACTGTCCGTATCTAATCTGACCGATTTAAAAAGTAAGTTCACGAAGTGATCGGGGAAAACTGAAAGTATATTCGTACTCTATGTACTACAACGAAATAAAATATATGAGAACTTCATCATTTTATTTTCACAATTTTATTTGATTTGGATCTTTGGTCTTTCGTCAATGTCGACGAAATCTGTTCGCTATAACAGATTTTTTTTCCAAAATATGCATTAATCTTCGAAATCCTCTATTATTTTTTCACCTCTTTGAGGGAGGTAATGAGGACAGAGGTTAATATGTATACCAACATTTTAAACGTTTACAATTACAAATCCCGAAATCTTAGAAGCAGGCTTCTAGCCTCCTTTATTTTCTTGTACGACACCTACATCAATATGTTCTCAATAACACAGACCAACATAATTTGAAAATAAGTCAAAACAGACCAATACATACTTTTGTAGAGTGATGTATTCGAAAATGATTTTCCGGTGAAACTACAAATTTTATAAATAAATATGTCTTTGAGCTGTTATGACGCCTCTAATATGGCCGAAAGCGGGAGATTTTTCTATTTTATGGACATGATACCTTTAAAACATGATGTGATGGAGAAATTTTGGGCCCAAATTATGACATACGATATCGATCGAAATCTCCATTTAGATTCTATTGAGATTTCGATCGATATCGTATGTCGTAATTTGGGACCTGATTCTAATTCAGGGCAATTCAATACTTTAGAAAAATATACTTTTGGCCTGTGTTATGGAGATCATTTCTTAGCAACTCACATTGTTAAGGTTTCCAAACGACTAAGAATTATGAACTCATGGCCCAAATTATGACATACGATATCGATGGGACCAGAATCGGTAAGATAATTTCTAACCTGCCTGGACGTACAACCTCCTGCAGAAATTTCATCCGCTGCCTATTGCGAATGGACAATGGGTTATTAAATGAAGGTTATGGTTTAGGGAGGACCACACATTTATGTGTGCAATTCACAAGATCAACAATTGTTACAATTGTCCGGTGCCAATGCCTCCAATATCGTATATTTTCGTCAGGTTCTAAACATCTCTGTATTCTTCCTTCCATGCAGCATAGTAAGTTATATATACTTCACATTGAAATCGATAGCGAGATAATGCAAAACATTGACAGAGAAAGTGAAAAGAATCTTCTTCCTCCTCGTTACACCGTTGGCAAGTGTTACCATTACATAACTTTACTTTATTAAGGAAATATTTAAGCACATTATGTCCCGTGATTATACCTACATACAATCTTAGTGCGTACTTTTCCAATTCTAGAAGTTTTTTCTGTGTGTTTTTATCTTCTGGACTCCATAGAGCTTTTGTTTGGATATATCGAGATAAATTGTTCCAAAGTGTATACGAGTCGACTTTAAATGTATACCTTATACTTCTATAAACGGAGTCAAACCCAGGAAAGACAAGCTGTGTTCAAGTCCATATCTACTCAGGCTCATGCTAGTTTGTCTGCAATTTTTATTTTTATGACCTGGTACCCAGCACAGAATCAACTGGTGTTGTTCGTTGAGAATCTGTAGCTCTCTGCGAAACGACTATAAATATTTTTGGAATCTAAATGCGAAATATTACTGAAGTTTTTCAGTCTGAAGTTATTAAAATAAGTTAATTACAGAAATCACCCGTTATTAAATATATTTTGTTTTATTTTTTAACCAATTTAAAAAACAATTAGAAAAAAGTATGTAACAATATAATAAAGAAATAAAAAATAATATAAAAACTAAAATAAATTAAATTGAACAAGCAATATCAAAAAGAAACCAAACCATAAAAGATTTTTTTTCAAATCCATATCCATTACTTAAGATAGCATTTAATAAGCATATAAAACTTATTCCTTATAGGCATTTTCCATAATAACACATTATTAAATAAACACAGTTTTAATTATAGTTTAAAATGAAAAGCCACAATATTTTTTGCGTTAAAGTTTATAAAAATAAATAAAAACCTAAACTCAAAACATATAGAAAAGACACAATGAGAGAAAAGCTGAATGATAGAATATTATGTCTGGATCTATATCATACATTTCCCTCCTTGTGCTCAAACCCTTTATGTATAATCTAAAAAAAAAAAATAAAATAAAAATATGCCTTTAATATCAATTTACCGTATTCAGTTAAATGCCTTAGAATATTATTTGATTTGTTAATAATTTAGATTTCATAAAATTTTTTAAAAGAAGACTTGATGATCATCATAAAATACCTATTCAAAATATATATTTTTTATAAACAAACATACATATGTATCATTTTAAAAATAGTTTCTTTGTGAATTTAAAATAAAATGTTTATCATAAAATTAATATGTGAACAATAAAAAAAAACACTTACATTAAAAAAAATCTTCCATATATCATACATCATTTATTCATCATCATCATGCTTTCATACATTATACATTATTCATACATAGCACATTCATAAAATTTATGTAAACATAACCTACATATTTAATTATTATCATTGACTCATCATTAATTGTTTGCTGTAGTAAATATAGCAAAATATAAACTAAAATTTATAGTAAGATTATTATTAATAAATTAATAAAAAACAACAGTAATAATAATATTTATTTAACAAAAAATTATTATAATTTATTAATGTGTAAATAAATAAAACAGAAAAATTTTAATTATTTTGAGTATTTTTTTAAGTGATACAATTTTCTTATTATTTTATTAATTTGTAAATTTTACATTTGTTTAAAATTAATTATTTCATTTTTTAACACTTCAACATACTTCTCATTTTGCGAAGAGATCCATTTTGTAATATCTCAGGTTAGGTGAGCAGGTTGTTTATATGTTTACTTCACTGGGGAAACACTTGGGTCCATCACAGCCATT